TAATTATTTAATATTTATTCTTTTTCTTGGACGTCAGTCTTGTTTCTGCACGGTTGCCCAGATAGTAATCTATTCCAGCTTAAAAAAAAAAAAAAGTAATCTTGAAATGGAGCCATTCATCACAGAGTAAACGGCACAACAGAATGGCTGTGAAATGGAGCAGGGGAATGTTCAGAGAAATAGCTTGGGGTAACAAACGGGAACGTTGCTGATGTAAAAAAATAAAAAAAAACAATCCACGGCACCTTTTCTCTGACAATAAAACCTTCTTCATTCTCCAACATTTCTGAGGATGGTGTCTCGTTATTACAAGCTTAAATACCATTCCATGATGTACCAGCTGGAGATGGACGCCCTACCAGCACTGTCCTCCTTCCCGCTCTTTTCCTCCGTCCTCTTGTCATATTTACCATCGGGTTTTATTTTTTTATTTTCGACTTTTTCAAACTTCACCAGCTCACTGCTGTCTGTCATGCGCTGAGGTTTTTATTGCGTGACAATGCACACAGGCTGTGTCGGTGTCGTCTCAAATGCTCCTCGGTGGTCAGTGTATTTGCCACAGCCTGAGGTGCCAGGCAGTGGTAACCATGGCGACAGTGTTCGACTGATTTCTATTGTCAAAGGTGTCTCAGCCCGCGGGGGGACCACAGATCCAACAACACGAGTCCGGTGTGCTCGATGCACTTTGTTTGCCAGGTCACTTACCATCATTTGACCAGTGTCAAAGGGGGGTGCTTAAAAGACCACAACCAGACTATGGACAACAAGATCTGTGATCCCAACCCCTGCATCAAAACTCTGACTTTTATTGGACTACTCATACCATTTTCTTTCTTTCTTTAATTATTATTATCATTGTTTTTTCTTCCACATTGCAGCTGTTGCATCAAACCAAAATATCAGGGACCTCCTGACTGAAATACAAGGTACATTAGGTGTTAAGTGTTTTTGAAGTTATCTTAAGGGTATTTTTACCGGCATGTCACGTAAAAATAAAAAATATTTTTTACCGAAATGTCAGACAGAAGAAACTTTTCAAAGTTCTGCAGCTGTGACCAGTTCTGCAAAACGGAGTCGGCAACTAATAAACTCAGCCTGAAGACTCTGCCTTTGAGTTTCAATTCAGGACTTTTTTGTTTTTGTTTGAATTAAGTCTTCTAATTTATTTATTCATTTTGTTGTTTTTCTATTATGACTGTTTGGCTCCAGCCTTGAACAACTTCTAAAGTACCACCTACTCTTTGCTGGGTCAGAACAAAGAACCATTTATGTCATGTGTGGAGTTTGCATGTCCTCACTGTGCACATGTAACTTTTATTATTATGTATTAACATTAATTTAACCAGGCCAATCCCATCTCTTTTACAAGGGAGGCCTGAACCTGAAGGCAGCCTAACATGCATGTTTTTGGTCTGTGGGAGGAAACCAGAGTACCTGGAGAAAACCCAAGCAAGCACGAGAAGCACATGCAAACTCCACACAGAAAGACCACAGGTCCAACTGGGGATTGAACCCGAGACCTTCTTGCTGTGAGGCAACAATGCTAACCACTGAGCCATCTGCTTACTCTGGTTACTAGAAACATAGATGTTGGGTTAATCGGTAACTCTAAATTTTCCCTGAATCGGGTGAGGGTGTGAATGTTTGTCCGTGTCCCTATGATGGACTTGCAACCTGTCCAGGGTGTCCTGCACCTCTCACACAGTGACTGGAGATGTGGTCCAGCTACCCCACATCCTGGAAAATAAAAGCAGTTAAAATATAATGGATTGTTGGTTGGGTCAGTGGTTGGTTCGGTTCTGGTTTTGTTTCTAGCAGCAAATGCATGAAACCATCACATCTTAAGGTGAAGCCCTCATCACAGATTAGGGTTTAGCCAGTTTGCTCGTCTGCCAGATATGAATACTAGCTTTGACTGTGTGTGTGTGTGTGTATGTATGTATATATATATATATATATATATATATATTTTTTTTTTTTTTTTTAATCCGCCATAATGCTCATAGTTGGACAACACGGTACTTACTGAGGTGGGACTTGTTATAAAGCGTGAGAACAACTGGTCTTGTTGGTTTCTAATAAGGTAGAACAGTAAATATTGAGGCCCATCTCAGATGGAAACCAGCAGTGGGGAAAAAACACGTTTACTTTAATCTTCCTGATATTATTAATTGCTTCTTGGGGTTTTCAGTAGCCAATATGCCATTTTCAACTGAACTTCTAAACAGCCATCCATTTTTATTTACACTATCGAGTATTTTAATATCACCGGCTGGTGTTTATAGATCCTAAACACGAGAGTAAAAATCCTAGTTTTCAGCGACTGATGATGCTGGAGTTCCATAGAGGATTCACAAACAAGTTGGGTTTTTTTGTTTGTTTGTTTGTTTGTTTAAAACCATGTTTATGAATGAGACTACTTACACTAAGGTTCCTGTTTGCAGGAGAAACAAGACAAACGCTGCTCTGATGACGAGATGCACTCCTTCAGGGAAACTCTGACTAGAGAACACATTTTGGAAGAGGCAGTCAGGCCTTTACGGGGCAGCAAGAATTCGATAAAGTTCAGAGAAATGCAACTTGATGCTTGAATAGAAGATTACGTGGCAGCGGTTTGTAGAAATAGATTGCTTCTTTTGTAAGCCAAGTGTTGTAGATGCGTGTACTCGTTTTTCTTTAGTGTTTAAACAGTGAATTAAAAACTAATATTTACAGACCTGTATAAAAGTGTGAAGTGGAATCTATTGAAGTTAAGGGTTTTAATTTTAGTCATGGAGAGTTTGATTTCTGCCTCGTTTATTCAAATCGGCTAGATTATATAATCTGCATTCACTCATAGTTTATCAGACGATCACTACAAACCAGTTTTTGATTTCCAAATGGTTGAGATCAGATTGCTGGGTGCACGGCTGAAATACATTCTGACAATAAAAAAAGAACAAAGTGCTACTTTCACCACATGCTTATCTTGTGCAATATTATAAGAAAGCATAAAACGTCGTCTGACTCAGTTTTGTCTGAAGCCTTAAAAGCATTAAGAAAAAAAAATTGCATAAAAAATTACTTTATGGTGCAGAAAGTGGCCACAGCTCAAAGGAAGGAAGGATTGAGATAAAAAAAAATAAAAAAAAGAACTTCTGCTCTAAGTTGAAGCATCAGAGAATTCTGTTGTTCCTCAGATTCATTTCTTTTTTTGGACACAACTGAGCACACGATGTGCTTCACGAATCTTAGATATTTCATAAACTGTAGTGATGTAGGAAAAAACATAATCATCAACTTGAGAATATTACTATAATTTATTACTTTAACAAGATTCCTCTATAGATTGCAAAGATGAGTGAAAATGTAACCAAAACTTAAAAAAAATAAAGCTTTCAGAAAACCTGGGGACCGGTTTAAAATAATAAAAATAAGGAGTGACGTTCAACTTTTGCATTATGTACTTAAGAGTCGACGGGGGAGAGGGCGGGACCCAGAAACCATCTTATCACCAGCAAACTGGTTGGTCCACTATGGGAGTGTGCTGCTTGTGGGACTATGTTTGTTGTGGCTCCTCAAACTGATGAAGTCCTTTGGATGAAGGACGAAACATCTCAACCAAAACAAATAAAAAATTGTCCAGATGACCTGACTGAACTTTGTTGGAAGCCTCTCCCTGGTTTCATTTGGCGTTTACTGTGATTTATTTATCACAGTGGTGTTGGGCGGCTTATCAGCGCTGCATGCGAGTACTGAGTCTGTGGGAATGTCAGTTGCAGGACTTGCTCTGACGGGTTGAATTTCTGAACCTCCAGCTTTACAAAGGTGAAAGTGACATTGTTGGGTAAAGGGACGGTAGTTGCCCCTGCGTAGAGATGGAAGCTGCACAAAACGTCGACTAAAGATGGAGAAGCACAGGAAAAAAAAATGCAGTCTCTCATGCGAAATAGTTTTCTTTAGTGGTCTGAGGTGATGTTTAAAATTTAATTTGTTATTTTTTATTTTTATTTTTTTTTAGACCTAGGGAGTAGGAGGAGTGGTGGCACAGAGGTTGGAGAAGGCGGGCCTGTGATCAAAAGATCGCCAGTACGACTCCCCGGACCGACATCAAAATGTGGGTGGAAAAGGAGAAACATGCACACCTGCCTCCGCCCTCATTTACCCCACTCTGGGCCCTTGATCAAGGCCCTTAACCCCCATCTGCTCCCCCTGGGCTCCCTAGATGGCAGCTCTCTGCTCCACACAGAGGGCTGTGGTAGCTCAGTGGTTTGTGGCTGCGTCAGGAAGGGTATCTGGCGTAAAATAATTGCCAAGTCTTCATGCGAGTTAGTTCACTGTGGTGACCCCTGATGAAGGGTGCAGCTTTAAACTTTTCCCACACTCTTGCAATATGTACAGTGTTTCTAAACGCTCTAAAAGAGCACAGAATGTCATGATTTCAGCTCCCTGCCTCGTCTGCTCTTTGCTGCCTGCAAGCGCTCTTGGCCACGCCCACTTCTCCGCTCTGCACGGAGAACAGCTGATCAGCTGCAGCAGGAAGTTTATCCTGCAGCAGTAAGGGCTGCACAAATGTGCAGGAGGTGCTAAATAATTTAAAATAATTAATTTTAAATACAAATTCCATGCCGATGGTGCGGCTCATCCATCAGTCGGCCAATTGTTTATTAATATTAATATTAGACCTGTCAGAAAGAGCTGAAATAAAACTCCAGTTTGGATCATGAGCTCCTGTGCATGTGAACCTGTTCATGTGAGTAAAATAACCCGCTGCTTGTTGGGGATTCTGGTGCCATCTCCTCCTCTTTGATGCCCTTGATTGTGTACCTGAACTAAACAGTCTCTGATTCTGAGCTGGTCCCTGTGGACCCCTTCCACTGATCAGTTTCTCAGCCCATCTGTCTGCCAGGCTTTTCACAGAGTCTCATCGTAGGAGAGAGGAACCCTCACTGCAGGAGTTTTCATTAAACCTCTACTCCCCACCTCCCCCTGCCCCTTCTTCTTTTTTTATCCCTCTGCAGGCCGGAGGAAAGTTAATGAGAAGACTTGATCATCTGACACTTTGCCTTCAGCGTTCCTTTATCCCATCTGTTGTTGACCACTAATTTGCAGCGGTGAGTCAGTGCTGGCACGAACGCCCTCTGAAAATATTAAAATTATTCAATAGTGTCATCTGTATTCGTTGTATAATTAAAATATTTCATATGTTGGCTACCTTTTGTAAATTATGTTTTACTGTTTGGTAAATCCTTAACTTGCCGTTAAACAGTTTGCATTTGGGGGTTGTAGTTTGAGTTTTTTTGTAATTGAATATTTAGCTATGCCATTTTGTTTCAGCTAGACATCCTTCTGTGCTCAACATGCTTCCTGTTGAACTTCCTGTATCTCATTAATTACAGCCTGCGTGACAGAGATTAATAGAGTGGGCGTGGTCTGTGCTCTGTTTGTAACCGACATATCAGCTGGAACATCAGCCCAGATTAGATCCAGCGACTAAACGAGTTAAACCAGGTGACTGGCGTTAGTTAAAACAATTTGTTTGAGTCATAAATGGTAAATGGACTGTACTTGTATAGCAACTTTCTATCTGGTCAAAACACTCAAAGCGCTTTACAATATAATCTGTGCCCTCATTTACCCACTCTACAAAACTAATCTGAATCTGCAGAGACTAATCAGAGCTTTATCACATTCATACACCGATGAGACGCGATGAGGAGTTCGGTGTCTTGCCCACAGACACTTCAGCATGTGACTGCTGGTGGAATTGAACCCCAACTCCCATTGGTGGACGACTGCTGTAACCACTCAGCCACAGCTGCTCCTAATGTGAGCAAATATATTCAGCTGGGGTCCACATCCAGTCTGTGAGTGAGCCCAGTCCAGCCCACCAATGAATTATTTTAAAATCAAATTAAGCTTTGACTTTAAAACTAAACCTGTGAGGGGAACTGAACCCTGGTCTCAGGGCAGCTTGTATAGACTGGGGGTGGGGCCCACACCTCAGGTGGGCGTGGACTAGAGTTTTCAGTGCTGTGCACGAAGTGAACACCCACTAGCAATGGCCTTAAAGACCAATGCTTATAAAAAATAGAAACCCCAGTTTACCTGGCATAATATCTCCCATGGTCCTTGGCGCTTCCTTGTGCTCCTGTTCTGCCACTTAACGCCGCATCACGACCCTGAAGGCATCGTCCATGTGTAATAGATTGTAAGGAGGAACAATTAGGTTACTTTTCTGCTGATCTAAAAAGCAGTAGGTCTCCATTTAGGACAAGTTAATCATTCAACCTGTGTGGAGATGCTTCATCTCAAAGAAACACAAATGAAAAATATTAATAGTCTCAAAGCATTTACAATAGTGTTTACTATCCTGCACCCCTACACGCCCCGTCTTTTTGATTTCTCTCTACCTGCTGCTGTAGTGTGTGGGAGGTGCAGCGTGATGGCGTGGCTCTGTTGTTCTGCCAGAGAAATGGATTTGCTGTGATGGATGGCACCGGTCGCATCGTACAGGTCTCAGCTTGCTGCTGAATCACAGCTTTAAACTCATTTTGCGGGCACAGAAAAGCCGTTGTGCTTTGTGCTTGGGCTCAGGACCTGGCTCGTCCACCGGCTCTGCTGAACCCTGCATGCCAATTACCCACAATCCCTCCCTTCACATTAGCCAAGAGCAATGAGGCAATGCAAGAAAACAGAGAAATATTAGCTCAACTGTTGGACCCAGGACTTTGTTTTCGGACCTCGCTTTCCTTGATTGTTCCGCTTTGGACATATTTTATTTTCAACCTTTTGTGATCTGGAATTGGCTCAAGGTTTGGAGGAAATTTATTATTTTAAATGTGTCTGTTTCAGTAAAATGAACTCACATTTGCAGTTGCTTCCTCTTTGCTTTAAGGCTTTTAACTCTCGCCCACTTTCATGCATTAATGTTTTCATGGAGCAGTTGGAGCCAGAGAAGGTTTAAGTCGTTTCACCTGGATTCACCTTAGTTGGCCCTAAAGAACAAAAAGCAGGCAAGTCTAAAAGGAATACATATATATATATATATATATATATATATATATATATATATATAATTGTGTTGTTTCCACTTTATGAATTTGATACCTTAGTGTGCTTTATGCTGGAGTTAATTTTCTTTTGAGCGTGACATCCACGATGAGTGAGCATGAATTGATTTCAATCAGGGTGCGTTTAGTTGTGGTGAGTAAATATAAGCAGCTTAAAGGTATGTTTATCTTTTCAGCTATATGTATATTCATGACCGCCTTGGATGAGAGTGTTTATAAAGGCTGAAAGAAAACTCTGACTTGAGGCTCATTCTGGGAATTAACAGCAGCAGCTGCCACTTCCTCTGGTTCTGAGCAGACAGCGGTCCACTCTGTATTCAGCAGTAAAACCGAGGTGGTCCGACTTCAGCTGCACTGACCAGGTTTTCAACAGTACGACGGAGTAGTAAGGCTCCTCAGGGAGAGAAAAAGAAGAGAGGCATTAACTTGTTTTTTTCACTTTTGAGATTAAAGTTCAAATGTAAATATTTAAGTAGAAGTACAGTAGTCAAACTATTCCCAGAAAAAAGATGCAAGTTAAGGAAAATGTTGTTTTCCAAGGTTAAACTGGAGGAAATGAACCCCTTCGTCCTCTTGAACTCATCAGTGTTAATTAGTTTTATTATACTTGTTGCAGCTGAAGAATACGGCTGCACGTTTACCTGGTAAACTGCAAAATACCATGGAATATTTACCAAGTGTTGACTTCTAAATACGCTCAAAACTCCTGGTGGTCTACGCTGCAGCATCCATTTGACTTGAGAGCAGTAATGTAAAAGATTTTCACGAGCTTCAGAGTTATATAGTTTGGTTTTTTTTAGGCTAGCATGCACTTCTGTTTAAGACTCTCTTTGTGATGGATTGAAACGAGTTCTGCAGCAGGAGAATTAAGCCGCACCTCGGACTGATTGAAATAAAATACTGCATGTTGGTGTGTAATTTACTCAGTGAACGTGCACCCATAACTCTTGCATACTATAATAAAAAAAACATTGAAATGAATATAGTTCAGTTCAGGAGCACAGTGACGTTCACTTTCTCTAGTTTATAGTTTCTTATACAGTATTTGTAGTTTTCATTTGATATTATTTTTATCTTAATTTGATTATTGACCTGCCATTACATTTCTGTCATTGTTTCCTGTTCCTCTCAAACCCAGCCGGTCGAAGCAGATGCTGCTTCACACGCACTAACGTTGTGAAGGCGGCGCAGCTGAAGAGGATTGTTATTTAATATTTGTACGGTAAATAGTTTATTTTTTAGACTCTTAGTAGAGTTACAGCTCTTTGTTAATAAATGTGCCTGTGTGACAATTGGGACAAAGCTTTGACTCAGAAATATATTTTTGTTACTTTATGGAAAGAAAAATATATTAATTAATTCAACCTTTATTTATACAGGTTGGTCTTTTTGAGCCACGGGACTCATTTACAAGCGAGACTTGATTTTAACAAATAATGATGACAACGGTAGACAATCATAAAATAAAGCATATGAATTAAAAAAATAAATGGAAGAAAGTTGGATTAAAAAAACGAAACAAAAACAGGTACATTATAAAGCGATGTAAAATACTAGAAACAGGAACATGTCTGCGCTGTTTGAATATTGATATATATATATTGCATATTGCGATTTATCTTAAAAATATTGAGATATTAATTTTAGTCCATATCGTGCAGCCTTACCAGAGCTGGGAAAATCCAATAGATCAGATCTTAAAAGATTAAAGTAGTTAGATAATCAGGGTCAGCAGACTCCACCAAATTCCCCCCAAGACGTTTAAGGTTCATTGCACAATTTCACACTTTTATGTGTAAAACTGATGGAGATCTTCTTCCCAACAAAGCTGTCTCAGAAATGCAGAGAACACTGCCAGGAGCTGTTCTTCACAGTGATTCTGTGAGATTTGGAGTGGATTTATCCTTTTAAGACCGGTAAAACATCAGAAGCTCTCTAGACATCTGACACTGATGGCCTTTTCTGATGGTCTGTCTCCGCGTAGGTAGGGTTAGGAAAGGGATGCAAACATCAAAGTGACAGTATTCTTATTTTCCATCCACGTTATCTCAACAATCTCTTCTGCTTCTTTCCTTTTATAATCACGCAGAGGGGAAGCTGTGTCTGACCTGAAACTTGTTTGGGTTTGTAATGCATTAAGATGGATGCATCCATCCCACTGTCGAATGATGAATTGCGAGCTTCAGACAAGGCTCCTCGCTATGTAAAAGAGGCACTTGCAGACATGGCACTTTCATCAATCAGCTGAGGGACCTCTGTAATGTTGTTACAATGCAAAAAAAAAAAAGACCAGGCTCTGTTTATATGCAGTCATGGGCAGAAGGGCTTTTTTATTCTGTTTGGACTAAGGTTCCTCTCCCTGCATGTTATGAAAAGCGTGACTTGGGTGCATTAATTGAACGTTCAGGGACCTTGAATCTGTGTTTTAGACTTCAGTCAAGCTGATCCCACTGTGTAATCAGCCGTTTTCTTACAAGTGTAGCATTGTCTCTTCCCTACAATTTTCTTGTTTTGTTCAGAAAGCAATATCAAGGTCTCAATTAAAGTGACACCTGGAATCTCACATTCACACATCCTCACAGGAGCGCAGCGGAGCTCCCTGACAGCGAGCCTGGAGCTGCTTAGTCGACACATTAGGAGCCCTGGAGATAATTTTGGGGAAGGTGCGAGGCTCCCGGTGGTGTGACGGAGAGATACAGCAGAGTCAGCCGGATCAGAGCAAACACTTTTACAGAGCAAAGAAAGGTGAACAAGGGTTCATGTGTATTCTAGGGTACACAAGGCAAAAAGCTCAAGTTCGTGTAAGTTTTATCATTAGCATCACATGTGGTACATGAGGTGGAACAAAGTTGTGTACATAGGATCCCAGTTGCATCCTACAATAGCAACAAAGTCCATGCTCAATAATCCTGGATTAATTATGCCTGGATTATTGAGCATGGACTTTGTTGTTTTCAACCAGTTTGACATGACTGTCAACAAGGAAGAGGGCCGGCAATGGAGGAGGGGCGTACCATAGAGACCATCTTATCACAAGCAGA